TGAGCTTCGCTTTGAAGTTTCTTGTTGGGGTTGGAGGCCGGGTTGCCTTTGAAAGAGAGTCATTCTTGTGTTTGGTACAAGAACACTAGGAGAGCATACACTATAGAACTTGTTAGTAATACCTCAGCTCCGACAACTTTGTCAGACTGATAAGTGATTTTTAAAATGTAAGAGTCTAAAAGTGATTTACTTTTATTTTGTGTGAGGGAGTTATGTGCCACAGTGCACACGTAGATGCCAGAAGGCAACTTGTGGGAGTTAGTTCTCTCCTGTTATGGATTGAATTCGGGTTACCAGTTTGGGCAACAGGTTCTTTATCCACTGATACATCCTTTAGCCTAACACTTTTAAAGAAGATTTTAAAAAATTACTTTAAACAAAAATGCTTTATAAAAACACAATAATGACAATATACAGACCATCTGACATCTGTTTGTAGTGTTTTCTTTCCTCAACTTCTTTCCTCTTTGTAAGCATGACAAAGTCTGTTGCCTTAATTTTAGGAAAATAATTCAATGAAGATTTATATATTAAAAAACCTAGGAATTTTCAATATTTAAGTGAATGTGTTTTTTAAGTAAATGAAACAGGATGTTGTTCTTATACACAGATATATAAAATGACTTTACTGGTTACAAATATATATCCATTCATTTGAAAAGAGAAGCATACAGCCAGGAGGTGGTTGCACACACCTTTATTCCCAGCACTTGGTGGCAGAGGCAGGTGGATCTCTGTGAAAGCTACACAAAGGAAATCCTGTCTCAAAATACAAAACAAAACAAAAACAAAAAAAAAATGCTAACTGCTCATTATTTTGATTTATAAAGACACAGTTTTCAAAATGAGTGCTTCTAAGATTTTTTGTGGAAAGGTCCTCATTTGAGAATACTTTTGTAATGTTCTTAGTTTATTAATCTGCTTTTCTTTCAAGATGGGTTACCTTTCTTTCAAGATGACCATAAGCTATTTTGGTCATCACTTCATAACTTGAGACAATGTCCTGGTATTCAATTTGTACAACATTTACACAGAACCTATGTTTGGGGAGCCCACAAGCACTTGCCTGTCACCACATATATTTGCCATGTGTCCACAGGGTGAGAGCTATGAAGCTATTTCCTCCAAGTCAAAGCTATTCACCAAACAGAAATTACAGCCATTTAAAGGCACGTGAGTACAGAGCAGAGGAACACTGCCTCCAGTTCACATACCCTGCCATTCTTCATGTAGACAGCCCTGGAGGATAGTCATTGTTAAAATATAGGTAGCTCTATAGAGGGTATGGGGACAGATCATTTGCCTCTTGCTGCTTACATTTGCTGAGGCTCTTATGAAGATTTTCCCTGGGCACATGAATCAGTTTAATAATGATTGCTGCCAGTTGGTGGCTAGACATCAGCATGCCAGCCTACTCAACAGCGTCGCCATCTGCTATTTGGACTCACAGTGTGTTGCTGCCACGCACCACCTCATTAAGAACGGGACCCTTGTGAGCCATAGACAGTAGCTTATTCAAGTGAGCTGAAGCAAACGCCTCCCCGAGCCAAATTTGTAGAGGCTGCATGCATCTTTTCCTCCTTGGAAATCGCTCTATGCTGAGCATGCAGTCTAATGGCTCATTGTCACTGATTATCTAGGTGTCAGTTTTCCAAGCCATCCTTTCAAGGTACCACTGAAATACAGATATGGTTATGCAAAATATTTATTCCAGCCCCCCCCTTTTTTGGGGGAGCAATAGAGTCACATCTTGAAATGATAACCAGCCACCACGTTACTGAACACCAACATTTCAACAAGTCTATTGTGATACACTCTTTTATTTTTTTAAAGCTATTTCAAATTAGCTGTTTTCTTTTAATTTTATGAGACGTCTGGTATGAGGCTTTTATTTCTTGGAAACAGATTTTCAAAGGCTTCCATAGTACTTTCCCCCTTTCCTTACTAAATATGTCCAAAGGCAGCTGTGAATACAAAATATTTGTATTCGTCTGACAAAAATGAGTGTACTTTCTCAGTTCTCACATCTGTACTCAGCCAGATGTGTTTCTTAAACTTGGTGCCTGTTAGATCTTCTATATTTTCTTTCCTGGGCAAATCGAATCTAAAGGTGTGTTTGCTGCGGGGAGGATGGAGCCTCTGTGTTCTGCAGGATGCAGCTCTTGATACTCTCAAATACAGTTAACATTGTGGCTGTTTATTAAGAAGTGTGCTTTGGACCAGCATTTTCCGGGAAGATAAAGATACAGCAATCTGGGCTGCTACACGGCTCAACAACAGCTCTCCCGGCACCACAGAGAACTCTGGAGATGAGCCATGGAACAACTCTGCTTCCCTGCAATGATCAGTCACTGACGTGTGTCATCCTGTGAAGGAGTGTGACATTAGATGGAGTGCTTCTGTGCTGCTGAGGCAAGACCAGAGGAGACCTGATGGCAGAAGAGACCTGACAGCTGCAAGCTGCTTGTTAACAGTTCATGCAGCAAATGGGAGCAAGTCCTTCTCTGAAGGGAGACTAGGGCCACACATGGATACGCGTCTGCACACACCACATCATCCCCTTTGGAAAGGTGCCCCGAATATCTGCACAAGAATGACTCTGAGAGTCAGGCACTAAAGAAACCTTTCAACTTTGTTTCTCTCCTAGCATCAGTTCATTTGCTAAGTATCAGTTCATCTCCATAAGTGTCACCCTAACTGTGATAACAAGGCCTTGTAGAATGTGTAAAACAAACAAACAAACAAACAAACAAACAAAACAAAACAAAATTGCATGCAGATGGTTTGTTTGCTCTAGGGTCAGTTGTCTTTCAACAGCAGGCTATTAGTCCTGCCTGAAACTCTGGTATCCTTATTAATTAAGTAATGTACTCAGCTCTATGGAAACCTGGTTTTAATTTTTTCCAAATCTGAACATAATTTTTTCATTCTATCTATGGTATGCATATGAAAACCCACACACACACACACCTCAAACCCTTATTTTCTAGATAAATACAAGCATTGTGTTTTAAAGTAAGTTAATGCAACGTTGTCTCTCAGTTTATTGGAGTTAGTGTAACAGAACACCCACTATAAATTGGGTAGATTATAAATAACAGAAACGTCTCATACATCTGGAGGCTAGAAAATTCAAAATCAAGGTGCTGGCAGAGTCTGTGGTGAGAACACACTTAATTGCTTGTGGCAGCTGTCTGTTGTCACCTGGCAGAAGGGTGAATAAGCTCCCTTGAGCTTCTTTTATAAGGGAATATATTCTATTGACTTCCTGAAGCCCTAACCTCTGAATACCACCACCTTTGGAAGTAGGATTTCAACATATGCACTTAGTGGGTACATACTAAGTACACAGCACTCACTTTTCACTTGGGGTTGCATCTGTGCTCTAGAGGGCTAGGTGATATTATAGCATTTGATTCTTCATTGGTGTCTATTTGTGTCTGGCTTCAAGTAAGATGAATACTGTCCTCTCGGGTAATTATTGACGTGCACACCCCCACGTTGATATCTGATGAAATCTAAAGCATCTTTCAGAGTTCACACTGTATTTCTGCTGAGTCCTTCAGGTCTACGGGCTGCTAGAACTATTGCTCTAATGCTCCCAGTTGCACCAGAGAGATTTCTTGGTCACCTGACACCATAGTGACTATATGGCAGTGTGGGATCCCTATACTTAGGCACATGCAAATTCAAACCTAGACTAACTATGCAACATCATGTCTCAGGGTAACAAGACAGGGCAGGGGGCACTCGTATTTCCACTTTTAGATTATGTAGATTCTTTCTGGGACCTTTTCAGACTGTGATTTGAAATGTGGAATCCTTCAGGCACTGCCATCATCAATAAACTCCACTGCTTTCTCTTGGAGATTACTCACTGATGAGTTTTTCCTTTTCAACCCCCTTCTTTGATTGAGTTTCGAGGACATAGGGTGTGACATGGAGGGCTAGGGATTCCTCCAGTCTAACATCTGAAACCATGACTTTGGTTCTTAGAAAAACAAAAGCCAGCAAGTTTTCATTTGCATGTTTCTTTGAGTGGGTCTTCTATGGCTCCGTTCCTCTTAAACACTAAACTTATGTTCTGGTTTCAGGGGTGTGGGATGTATGCTGAGGTGGGAAATGAAGCATCTGCCTTCAGAGGGAAATGTATCCAGTGTTTTGTTTCTGTATTTATTTCATTAGTCTAGTAGCCATCATTGTACAGACAGTGAAGTACTCCCGATTCTGTAGCTTGCTTGGGTTTTAATGGCCCTGAAGTTATTCTTCATACCTATTATAGCTGTCACAAGTCCACTCAATTTCTAAATAGGTTTCAGGCAGTTTATCAATTTCATCAAAATAAAAGGATCTCCTGGGAGCGTCATGGGGATGACACAGACAATAAATATTGAGTACATTCAAAGTATTGATCTTTAAAACATCTAGTCTTCCAAGCCTTTATACCCACCACTCATTTAAGTGTTTAACGTCTTAGTAATGCTTTTCAGTTGCTAGTGTAGAAAACTGTAAATCTTACAACTAGCTATTTGAATCTATTTAAAATATTTTAATTTGTTCAGTTGAGCCAATGTAAGGATATACAATTTTTGATATCTTGACATTAAGTTCAGTCATTCTCACAGTCTGTAGAACAGTCCGGGTTTTCTACATGCACAATCATTCATGGCATGCTGGATCTGCATGACAAGGGACAATACACGATTGTGGGAAAAATCCGTATTCTATTACTAAGCAGTATGCTAACTGTGGGTTTTCTTAATAGATTGCTATCAACTTCCCTTCTGTTCCTAGTTTTCAGTTTGTATTGTTAATGTGAGTTGATTTGTTTGCTTTGTAGCTACTGACATATGGTTTGCCTTATTCTGTTATATGATGGATTGCATTAATTAACTTTCAAATGTTAAGCCATTCATGATGTACTGGTCTCTTTATACATTGCAACTTTCATTTGATAATATTTTGTTTAGTATCTGAGCATTGACATTTGTGAGACTTACTGGCTCCCAGACAGAAAATTAGGTAGCTAACTTCCATTATTTTGTCTGTGGAGGCATCTTGGGGGTTGTTCCTAGGGGGAAAAAGATGAATGAGGGTGAATCTCTTTGTTTACATAGTGACAACAGACTTCATGTGAACAATGGGAATTCCTAGGAGGTGGTTTATGACTTGCTTCCACAGGCTATCCATTTTAGGATTATCATAGTCTGCAACTATGAAATTATGAAGGACAGTGCCTATGCAAATGTTGTATGCATCTTATATGAATCCAAATATATGGAACTACGTAGCCTAACAGATTCTATGTCCTGACAGTGCAGTGAAATGGCTCAATCAAAGCAAGAATGAAGGACCTCGAAATCCAGAAACTGCCAAGATTTCTGTCTACCTCACTTGTGCACACTTGATTATAAATTTAAAATTAACAGGTTAACAAATTTATAATGAATAACAACTTATTTCTATGAGTTTTTTCAGGTTGATTCAGGAATCTTGTCTTTGAGGTTGGGTCTATAATCCCCCCTCCCTTTTTTTGATAATGTTTTGTCAGATTTGAGTTCCAAAGGTCTGTTTATCATCTACAGGTGGTATTTGTTTCGTCTATCAAGACAAAAACATTGACCTTTTCCTGTTCAGTTGATAAATCCTGCAAGTTTGGTAGTATTTTCCTGTTAAATATTTAGTTGACTTTAACAATGAAATTACATTGGCCTAAACAGTGTTTTGTGGAAATCTGTGCATATCCCCAATCTATATATGGAGAGCCAAAGGCCAGGTCTCAAAAGGTAAATGGTAGAGTGTGCACCCTCACCCATGGAATGTCTGTCTTCTTTCCTGACTGCTAAAAGATGACTAGTTGAATTCCGCACAAAAAGTTAGTGGAGCTATCCTGGGTCTGACAAGGCAGAAAAAGTACTATATACTGCAGAAGCTGTGTGACATATATGCAAGAACCAGGAGAATATTTCTAGGAGTTAAATTTGATCAGTACTTTTCTGAGGTGCTAGAATATAAAGATGTATAAGAATGTATTTATTTAGGAATGTTACAGGTGTTTATCATTTGGTGTGGTCGGTCTACCCAAACTCAAGTGTGAAAGCACTTAATTGCCAGTGTGAACACATTAGCATTTGGCACCTTTTAGAGATTAAGTGATGAAGGTGAAAGGGATTTATGATTTCTAAGATGGGCTACAGGAAAGCTATCTAGGCCTCAGACTTCCTTCCACTCTACCATGTGGAAATAGATACGTCTGGAGGATAAAGTTAGAAAAAAGCCTCACTAGACACCAAACTTGCTGACATGTTTATTTTAATTTTGTATTTCCATCCTCAAGACCAGTGAGAAATAAATTTTTGTTCTTTGTAAATTAATCAGCCTCAGATATTCGGTTACAGATGCACAAATGGACTAAGATATTACTCCAGGAGGAACACCTGGGATGAAACAAATTCCCAGATAACGTGGCTCTTAAAGGCCTGAAAAGAGAAAGGGTCACTTCTGAGCAAAGTCGTGATGTCCACATTGCCCTGGTAAACAGGGAAGATATAAACAGACCAAGGGAACTGGCCATGCTGGGATGGATATATTGTAAGGGTTTAGAAAAACCTCTGTGGCTTGCTCCAAGGCAAGGACCAGAGAACATACAATTCACCAAGGCCACCAGGAACACTCCTATGAGAGGGTACCAGTATCACTGAGATAAGTGATGGTGCTTGTATTCTAGATAGAGCTGAAGATGAGGCAGTCATGGCGCTGGGCTTGTTAATATCACTCAGGGTAATGGACCCTGAAGTAATAAAGGGCCCTGCAGGACTGGTGCTTAGCTACCAAAAGCCAAGAGGCCATAATTACTGTAACAACTGATAAAATTGAAGGGGTAGTTAAGTGGGCTTGACTCACAGGGCGTTAGGGAGATGATTAATTGAAGGTAACGCCTCTACAGGCAAAACAGAGCAAGTAGGAAGGATGTGGCTTAACTTCTATAAGTAATTAAGGCAAGAATGGAAAAGCAAGATGTTAATGGTACTGTCCCCAATGAATCTTTACAATCTCTTGCTCCAGTTTCCAGACATGAATAAAATTTAAGGGCTACAAAGAGTGGAAAAGTGGCTCAGCCTTCACAAATAAAGACCCTGTTATACAATGACATATGCATATCGTTATGACTCTCAAGTTCTTCCCCAAATGGACTTCTGGCCATTTATTAGGGTGACTAGTCACTGGGAAAGGAGAATATTTATCTACTTCTAGATTACCTAGCATGGGCTCCATCTGATTTTGACACTTAAGCCAACTTCCTGGCAGTTGGGTCAAGTCATCCCCAAGTAGCACATGTGTAGAACAAGGGGTAGACTGAACTGGGGTGGGTGAAACTGCACTCTTGGAACGTTTGCTTGAGGAGACTTTAGTGGTCCTTGCTGCTGCTCTGAAGCCAGTGTTATTTTCCTGCCAAGGCTACTTTTCCCACAGGTTTATTCCATGAGCACAGTAGCTGAGTAAAGCAGGTAAACTAACATAGGCTTATTCTTGTGAAGTAGGGATGTCCCCACTGGGAAACTTTGGCTTATCGGCCCACCTTAAACTTGATTAAAATTGCACTATAGCACAAACATCTTGGTATTCTGTCTTTCTCAATTAGGGTTTCCCATTGAAACAGAACCAACAGGATCCATCCATCCATTCACCTACCCACCCACCCAGATATTTATTATACAGAATTGATTACACTACCACAGAGGCAAAGTCCCATGATCTGCTACCTGAAGGCCTGAGACCCCAGAGCACTGATTGTGTTAGCCCCAGCCCAAGGTCTGAAGATGGATGCCTCACTTCTACAGTAGTCAGTTGGAGAAAGAACTCAATCTCCCATCTCTGTTTTGTCATTATTCACGTCTTCTATAAATTAAATGCCCTGCCTTACTGGGGACCACAATCTCTTTTACTCAGTTTATCAACTCAAATGTTTGTCTCTTCCAGAAGCACCCTACAGACATACCCAGAAATGACGCTTCAGGCCTAGTCCAGTTGGGATATCACCCAGTGACACATGGATAGGGTGAATAGGTCATATGACCTAAATACTCCAGCTTCACTGGCTTCCTCTCCTTTTCAACTCTCAACAGACATTCCCCCAAATGAGACTCTTGTAAATATAATTATGTCTTTGTAAGTGCTTGTTGGGAGGGCTGGACTAACAAACTTGTACTTTGTTCTGGGAGGAATTTATATTGGATCAGTAGGATACTATTCAAGCTTGTTCTCAAGTTCCTTTTTGGGTGGTGTATTTTAACCGGCCAGTTGAGCCCCACTGGTGTTAATGCATAAGCTTTCAGGGATCCTGTACTCAGCAAGGACTGTCAGCTGTGGTTGGCTGCAGATGAAACCGTCCCAATCTCATGCCAGCCTTGAGAAGTGGGAAGCTGAGTGCTGAACAAAAGGTACCCAGTGAACTCTTTGCAGATTTTGGAAACTTTTCTGTGTGCTTATCTTCCCACTTTAATGGTACTTTTTCACAAAAATTCATGCCATCCATTCCAACTTGAGTCTTTTCTTTCTCTCAATTCAGCAAATCTGTCTGCTCAAACACCCAGAAAGCTAGCATATAGAGAAGTCACAGGCTGAAGAGATGGCTCAGAGGTAAGGGCTCTTCCTGCACTTGCAGAGGATGGGGGTTTGTTTCATAGCATCCACACAGGCTACTTCATAACCACCTGTTAACTCCAGTTCCAGGGATCTAACACCCTCCTTTGTCCTCTGTGGCACTGCATCCCAAACCAACCTCTGTTTTTTTTTTTTTTTTTTTTTTTTTTTTTTAGAACACTAATTAAGAATCCTTTCACAATATTTCTGCATAAATGCTTAGACTTATATGTATGACTTAAAAAAAGTAAGCTTTAAAAAAAAATAAGGCTGTGTTTCATGTAGCTCTGACCAGTCAGTCCCTCTTGAATTCTATATGTATTCAAAGATGGCCTTGAGTTCCTGTCTCCACTTCCCAAGTACTGGGATTACAAAGATGCATCATTACATCCAGGTCCCATAAACATTCAATTTCATATCAACTCATAGTATTTTTAAATCAGAATTAATTTAGAAATATATTCTAATGTCTAATGCAATTTACTGACTCATTAGTCATTGGGGTTTTTGTAAGCATTTGGAATTAAATTGCAATCATTTGGAATCCTTTGGCATCTTTATAAACTTGACTTTCAGTTTTATTCATATTAAATACTTCAGTGTTTTGAAACTTGGTTTGTGGTGATCCAGTTTATGACAAGTGTGTAACTATTCTGGAACATACATTACAAAAACACACATTCGTAAGTGTTTGAGTGTACTATTTTACATCATGACTTGCTTACAGCCATATGACAATATCATATACTCAGTAGAACTCAACACATGCTGAGTTGAATGACTCACTAGCTTTCTTATTAGCATCAGTTAAAGAGAAGTAAAAAGTTGATGACATCACTAATTCTGAGGGAGGAATAGACAAATCATGCAGTTCCCCATATTCTGATAAATGTTAATGCCATGCCTTCATCTGGTGGTCTTTATCCCCAATGCTTTCCTTCTCATGTACCTACCCATTTCTCTCCATTAGTCACTAGCGCATCATGAGAACAGAAGACTATCTGAAGAATTTCTATGATAATAATTTATAAAGTTCTCAGAGACACAAGAAAGAGTTTTCCTTCTTCAATCTTTTCCACCCCCAAACAATTCATGGTTGCTCCTGAAACTGCATGAGAGAAAACTGTAACTGACACCACTCACTAGTGTTCAAACATTTCAAGAATGTTTGAATACTTTATTTCCCTTCTTTTCTTCTTCTTCTTCTTCTTCTTCTTTTTTTTTTAAAGTTTATTTTTCAAGACAGGGTTTCTCTATGTGGCCCTGGCTGTTCTGGGACTCACTCTGTAGACCAGGCTGGCCTCAAACTCAGAGATCAGCCTGCCTCTGCCTTCCAAGTGCTGGGATTAAAAGCATTTGCCTCGACCACCTGGCAAGAATAATGTCTTAATTTTCCAAATTTTCTCTTATAAACAAATACAACAGGAGGTCAAAACTGTTATAGACAAACAACTCTTAATATATTTAATCTTCCTTTTGCCAGCCCTGTCTATATAAATATGATTACAGAAAGAAGTGGTAATAGATTTACTCAGGTCTAAAAATATATTATGCAGACTATGAAAGGCCTCTTATACATTGTTCGGGTCTTTTTAACGTTGGGTTCAGG